ATAACTCATGTAAATTTATTAATGCGATCCTCATTCTTTTTCCGTTTGTATAAAATACAAAGAGTTGGAGTGGTATAGTTTTATTTTGGCGCGCAACAGACCTTGCAACAAATTTATGAGGAATAAGACAAGCAAGCAGACCTATTTCGAATATACAATATATGGATAGTCGCACTTAAATGCTAATGCATATCTTTAAGAAATAGGCGCATGTGCACTTACATCATAGTACCTACATACACAAGAAATCTGACAATGTGATACCAAAGGCTCTTTTGCAATAAGACAATGGATGAAGTGTTAATATTTTCTGAATCTTCCATGTGCCATCAGTGAGATACGTTACTACAAACAAATCGGTGCTTTAATTCCATTGTTCTGACCGTTTTGGGCTTATTGTTTGCGGCGATTTTGAAGTAACATCAAATACGAGTAAGACGCTCTCAAAATCTAAAAATTAATCAAGAAACAACGACCTAGATGTTGTGTAGTTGGAACTTACGGTAACCAGGGTAAGAATACTTAATGGTGCAAATTTTCCCACTGTAACTCGCACCGATTTCTGCGCCTTTGACATTATTAAAATTAATGATTTTTGAAATGGCAAATTAGTGCCTACAAAGTCAACATTGTAGCACGAAAAAGCGAATGCTTCATTTTCGTTTAAGACTCGTTGTGTGAGATAGCAATCACCGAAGAATAAAGTACTTGCTCCAATCAAGTATATGCAAAGTTTAAAAAATTCAACGTTAAACTGTGAGGTCTGTAAAAGAAAGCATACCTATTATAGTGGAGTGTATTTGATTCCATACTTACATTTGCAATGCGGAACAGAAGGATGCAGATTATAAAAGATAAGTTAAGGAAATTGATTAAAACGCACTTGTTAAATATTTCCTCAGTTTCGCTTGCAATTCTTATAATATAGTTGTGGTGCACAATAATTGTCTTTAACTGTTTTTGTTGATAAAGCCACGGAACATTGTTTTTGCTGACTGATTTTGAAGCAATTTTATTTATTGAGCAGAATTCTCGCTTAGAATCATCAAGTAATTCATCGATGCTGATTCTTAGGTATTTGAAATGCGTTTGCAATTGCAACATCATGATCATTTTGATGGCTTCCGGGTTTAAATACTCTATGGCCAAGAAAAAAAATATGGACACTTGGAAAAGCAAACACGCGGTATAATTGTAATTCACCCACACGGGCATGGCCCCGAAAGGCAGACCATTTCGTTTATCTGTTAGTAGCCACGACAAAATGCCAAAAATATAACCAGAAATTCCTAGAGTGGCGGTAAGTCGGCCCTTAAAGTTTGTTATTAGTAATATGCCAAAATAACTAGAAACGTATACCACTACAGGCAACGGTCGCTGTAATTCAGACTGAAACTCGCCTGACCTCTTGATTTTATACTCCGTGGAGGTTTCTAGTAGAACCAGCAAATTTGCCAATTTTGATCTGTTTATCCTCATTATTGTGAGACAGGGCACAGCTAGAGAAAATGTCCATCATATACAAACCTATGGCTGCATGGTAATACTTACTGTTCGTAATTGCCAACACGTAGATACAGTCCTCCAGTTCAGTCTCAACATTAAATTTTCGACTTAAGTACAGCACAGAGTATAGGTAAACTGCGAATAGGTAGACACCTGAAGTAACTTTTTCACTTCTGCTCATATTTTGTTTTAGAACCAGCCCCGTTATTTTAGAAAATGTTCTAAGCATATCGAAAGAGACGGATAACGCGTCACTTGACATCTTCAGTGAGCAGTGTCAGAATAAACTTGTAAGTTACGTTGTGCATGTTCCCTTATATGCATCTGTTTAGAACGAGGAATTGATCGGAATGGTTTTTAATTCATAAGTTCTGCCAAGTAATTATATGTAGTTTCGTATATGGTTGACGTGGTGTGAACCTTCCAACAGGCGACTGCATTTCATCAAAGAATTTCATCTAGAGCGCATTAAATAATAAATATAAAAATGCTTAATTACAACGCTGATGCAGTAGTAGCCATAAATTATAGCTCCAGCAAATCCACCCGGTGTTTAAAATAGAATTTACATTGTCAAATGATCCTATATAATGATGGTGTTAATCGAAACCAATTAGAGCATATGCTTGTGTCTCATCTTTTACCTTACTATATTATATACTAGTTGACCCGACAGAATATTAAATTCGAACTGGAAATATTAATAAAAAAATTATTTCAAAAACATAGTGCTTATTGCAATGCTTTCTGATACACAACATTGTTAATTTTGTTTTCTGGGGTTTGAATAAAGGTGAAAGATTTCCAACGTGGAACAGGCGACATACAATTGGCCATGTGCAAAACATGGATTTTCCAGATTGATTTCACAAACACATCCACTGCCCTTGCTATTTAATTTGCGATATTTCCAAATGCAAGCACTGGAAATTGTAAATGTTTAAAGTCGAATGGCATATCGTTCACTCGTTCGGAATCATACGGATGCGCGGAATCAAAAGTCTTCGCCTTTATACTTCCCTTTTGAAATTATGACTTCGATCATGGTTATTAATTTCAGTACCGCATGGCGGGTGCCATTACTAAGACGTGGCTGGTTTATTTTCCGCAACATATAATGATTACCGATCCAAGTTTTAATTGCAGATTGGGTGTTGGTAATCTGCTCGATTCCAGAGAGTTTACAAATTCCCTGGGATAACGGGCAATATTAGTACAGTCAAGTTAGACAAAAAATGGGCATTCCGTGCATCAGATATTTTTACTCCTGAAAGACCGATTTTAATGCAATTATTGTCGTATACTTTTTTGAACTAGACAAAATTTCTGACAATTTAAGCCCTTAACGATCTCCGCAAGTCTAATAGTTTCCGAGATACGGCGCTTCAAATATTGGTAAATTTATTAGTTTTACAAGTTTTATCGTTTTTTTTTTCGCAGAAACTAAACTTACCAAACATGCACGATGAATTGTCGTAAGTCGTAATAAACTTGTTATTGAAGAAGTGCTAAAAATTGCGGATAATGAAAGCAAATTAAATATTGATTTTTGTCTTTTAGTGGAAAAATATCCATGTTTATATGATACCTTATTCAGTGATCATTCAAACCATAGTGTTGTGAGTAAGCTAAGGAAAAAATTCACAGATTTCGCAATCCATGCAACAGGTAGTGGATCTTGCTGAAGGAGATGACAACTTTCTTATCATAGGAGAAGCTGAGGACCCAGAGGATATCAACTTTCTAGTTCCTTCTGTGCGGATTTATGGAGACTCCTCACCACAAAGTCCCCCCAAACGAACAAAATTATAAAAATGTTTATGAGGTTTTTGTGCGAAAAAAAGGCAAATTTGATTAAAACTGAAGAATTTACGAATTTTTGAAACGCTGTATCTCCAAAAGTATTAGACTTACAGAGCCGGTTAAAGGCTTGAATTGTCACAAATTTTGTCGAGTTTAAAAAGTATACGACAGCAATTGCTTTAAAATCTGTCTTTCAGAACTAAAACTACCCAAAGCGCAAAGATAATAGAAAAAATGGCGTATTTGCGAGTGCCGCGTTGCTCGCACAGGCCTTTGGAGGTCGAAAACTTGGATTTTTGACATCCACACTCAGCCTAACAATTAAAAAAAAAATAGAAATGACACCCCGTTTTGAGTCGTTATAAGATGGATAGCTACCAATTGGACTATATAATCTTGTTTACGATTCGTATGTCATCAAGTCCTACTACTTTCGGAGATATCCGAAAAACACCGAAATATTGCAAAATCGTTTTTATTTTTTACTGAAGTTATTTAAAAGATATTTCGAAATAAATAACACATTATTATGGCCACTTTTTCCCTGTACAAGATGTTAGTTTTAAATTTTAAATCCGACGTTTCGTGTCCGGTTGACCATCATCAACTTTGTTATTTCTTTTGGAAGTCATTTTTACTTTTTGGGTTATTTGATAGAGAATTCAAAAGAGAGTTCAAAAATATCAACATCACATTTTTTTAAATTATTAAAATTTTTGGCCCAGAAAACTTTGTCTTAGATAGTGTCATTGACTAATGATTAGTCAATGATAGTGTACGTACGTAGTTTCTTGCGTTTTTACGAATTTAATAGTGCTATTTATGATTAAAAGATAGTGATTTTTGAAATTAGAAAAAAATTACTTCCATAAGAAAAAACATAGTTGATGATGGTTGACTGGAGACGAAACGTCAAACTTTAAAAGTAGCATCTTGTAGGTAGAGGGACAAAAGTGACCATAATAATGTATCATTTATTTCGAAATATCTTTTTAAATAACTTCAGTAAAAATTAAAAACGATTTTGCAAAGTTTCGGCTTTTTCCGGATATCTCCAAAAGTAGTCAGAACAGGACAACGTCTGTCGGGTCAACTAGTATATAATATAGTAAGGTAAAAACATAGAGTGGGACACAAGCATATGTTCTAATTCAGAGTGGTTTCGATTAACGCCACCATTATAGGATCTTTTGACAATGTAAGAAATGTAAATTCTATTTTAAACACATAAGGGTGGACTTGCTGGAGCTATAATTTATGGCTACTACTGCATCAGCGTTGTAATTAAGCATTTTTGTATTTATTATTTAATGCACTCTAGATGAAATTCTTTGATGAAATGCAGTCGCCTGTTGGAAGGTTCACACCACGTCAACCATATACGAAACTACATATAATTACTTGGCAGAACTTATGAATTAAAAACTATTCCGATCAATTCCTCGTTCTAAACAGATGCATATAAGGGAACATGCACAACGTAACTTCCAAGTTTATTCTGACACTGCTCACTGAAGATGTCAAGTGACGCGTTATCCGTCTCTTTCGATATGCTTAGAACATTTTCTAAAATAACGGGGCTGGTTCTAAAACAAAATATGAGCAGAAGTGAAAAAGTTATTTCAGGTGTCTACCTATTCGCAGTTTACCTATACTCTGTGCTGTACTTAAGTCGAAAATTTAATGTTGAGACTGAACTGGAGGACTGTATCTACGTGTTGGCAATTACGAGCAGTAAGTATTACCATACAGCCATAGGTTTGTATATGATGTACATTTTCTCTAGCGGTGCCCTGTCTCACAATAATGAGGATAAACAGATTAAAATTGGCAAATTTGCTGATTCTACTAGAAACCTCCACGGAGTATAAAATCAAGAGGTCAGGCGAGTTTCAGTCTGAATTTCAGCGGCCGTTGCCTGTAGTGGTATGTTTCTAGTTATTTTGGCATATTACTAATAACAAACTTTAAGGGCCGACTTACCGCCACTCTAGGAATTTCTGGTTATATTTTTGGCATTTTGGCGTGGCTACTAACAGATAAACGAAATGGTCTGCCTTTCGGGGCCATGCCCGTGTGGGTGAATCACAATTATACCTCGTGTTTGCTTTTCCAAGTGTCCATATTTTTTTTCTTGGTCATAGAGTATTTAAGCCCGGAAGCAATCAAAATGATCATAATGTTGCAATTGCAAACGTATTTCAAATACCTAAGAATCAGCATCGATGAATTGCTTGAGGATTCTAAGCGAGAATTCTGTTCAATAAATAAAATCGCTTCAAATTTAGTCAGCAAAAACAATGTTCCGTGGCTTTATCAACAAAAACAGTTAAAGACAATTATTGTGCATCACAACTACATTATAAGAATTGCAAGCGAAACTGAGGAAATATTTAACAAGTGCGTTTTAGTTAATTTCCTTAACTTATCTTTTATAATCTGCATCCTTCTGTTCCGCATTGCAAATGTAAGTATGGAATCAAATACACTCCAGTATAATATAGGTATGCTTTCTTTTACAGACCTCACAGTTTAACGTTGAATTTTTTAAACTTTGCATATACTTGATTGGAGGAAGTACTTTATTCTTCGGCGATTGCTATCTCACACAACGAGTCTTAACCGAAAATGAAGCATTCGCTTTTTCGTGCTACAATGTTGACTTTGTAGGTACTAATTTGCCATTTCAAAAATCATTAATCTTAATAATGGCAAAGGCGCAGAAATCGGTGCGATTTACAGTGGGAAAATTTGCACCATTAAGTATTGTTACCCTGGTTACAGTAAGTTCCAACTACACAACATCTAAATCTTTGTTTCTTGATTAATTTTTAGATTTTAAGAGCATCTTACTCGTATTTGATGTTACTTCAAAACCGCCGTACATAATAAGCTCAGAACATGAAATCGAAGCACACATTTGTTTGTAGTAATGCATCTTACTGCACATGGAAAATCCGTGAACTATTAACTCTTCATAATTATACTATACACTATATATCTGTTCTGTAAATATAGTTATCACTTTCGCACTCTTTATTACAAACGAGATCTAATAGTAGTTAAGATACTATACAGTTGTTGTGTGGGGATTGGGATTGGTAATTAACAGGTTGACTGCCAGAGTGGTCGTGTACGCCCGCTAACAAATTATCCTGGTATGCCGCGGCAGTCGTATACGCCCGCTGGAACCTAATAGTATATAGTCATTTTTCACATGCCAGCGGTCTTACTTGAAATGGATTGTTGTGTGACTTACCGCCGCTGTGGCATGGCTGACTGTCAAGGTAGCACCAATTTTTTGATAGCTTTTATAGTACCCATAAAAATTAATGTCAAAGTTTTTATTACAAAAAATGAAAAATCAAACAATTTACAAAATAAATTGAAGAAGAAAATAAGAAAACATCCTTGTTTAAATAAAATAATGAGCGTATTTGTATTCAATGTGCTGCATTGAAACAGTCCAAACACATATGTGGTTGATCTTCGCATTCATTACAATACGTTACGACTTTTTTTACTCGTGTTTTGAGTATTTCGCCCCGAATCTTTTTTCCATAGCACCCTTTGCAATACTTTCTAACCATTTGTCATTGCATTAAGGACGACCGCCGACACGACCGCTTGGCAAAAGTGGATTACTTATGCCTTCCTTGCCCGGGCGGTCGCATACGACCGCTCACTTAATTTTAAAAAAAAATAGTACTAATTTCAAAAATTAGGGTAAATGTCAAGCAAGGCTGCATTTATTTCACTATCAGACGCTTTAATTCACCCTTGGCGCCAGGGAACATTTTTTCTGTTTTAATGGTGGCAGTCAACCTGTTAATAAATTCTCAAATAGATCGACTTTCTTTGCAAACACTTATTCGAACGGTATACAAATATTAGTAGTAGGCAAAAGGTAATCCAAAAGAAAGACTTAAGAGAAACAATAAGAAACCTTGGAGGGAAGATAAACTATGAGGGAGGTAAAGTCCCAAAAAAATTTCTTAATAAAACTGCTGCTAACACACCTTATATTTTATTTATAGTTTGGACCCAACAGTTTAATTATTTCATTATTTAAAAACAACTTGGACATTTTTCAATATTTCCTCGCCAGTAATGTCATTTTTCTGACTTTTATGTAATAGCGACTTACCCTGCTATTTACATAAAAGTGAGGAAAATGACACATTACTGGCGAGGAAAGATTGAAGTGCGAGGCCGAGTGCTTTAATTTCCGAGTCAAGTAATGTCATTTTACTGACAAGTTTTATATTAAATTTTACCCGAAATCGTATTTTAATATATAATTTCAATTTTCATATAGAACATTTTTGTTTAATGTCAATCTGTCAGTGATGACATGAGTCATTATAGACATTTAGCAATGTCAAAAATGCGACCGGTAAAGTGACAGCTGCGGCCAGTAAAGTGACAAGCGGCAGGAAACGTAGTCTGATTTGCCTCTGTCATGGAAACTAAAATTTCCTGACAGAAAGTAAGCATGAAAATGAAGGTTTCAGGACGTTTTTGGGTAAAATATTTTTTCTGGTATATTACTGCATTTTAGAATTCTCCAGAAAATTCTAAACTTGTTTCATGTTTCATGTAAATCTCCTATACCTATCTTCAACTGTTCACGGAATATTTACGGGACGTAATTGGGCATATTTTTCCAGAAACCGCTGAAAATTTACAGCAGCAATTAATTTGATCGTTTGGGGCCCTCATTTCCTAGTCACATGATTCCCCTGAAAAAGTTTTAGGAATTACAGGGTCATTCTTGACGAGCGTCAGTTAGAAAGATATGGAAAACCTTTGAAAATGAAACTAAACTGATAAGTCCTTTATGGGTTTTGGCACATGATGAATTGAACTAAAATATTTTCAAGATGGCGCCACTTCCGGAAATACCGGAAGTAGCCATCAACTTTGTTATTTTAAATAGGGACCCCCTATTTTTTCTACATTTTCAGATTCTACGTCGAATTTGGAGTACAACGATACCATAGTTGACTCTTTGCTCCAAGGGTTTCGCCGATATTCAATTTTTTATGTCAAAAATTGAATTTGTAGGGGTAATTTTAAAAATTTATTATTCGAAAACGGTGAGAGATATTGCAAAACAGTTTTCAATGCTTCATTAAGGAAAGATCGAATTTTCTTATGGTATGCGTAACAGTCTAAAAAAGTGAGACTACGTCACTTTTTCAAAGCTCTCAACTTTTAAACGTTTAAATATCCGTAACTCCATTTTTTCAAATGGCACCCCCCATTTTGTTCTTCACCCTTGTTTTCCTTTTTCCCAGACCTTTAATTTGATACAAAATGTCAAAAGCTGCTTCAAACGGTTTCCGAGATATTCCATGTTTTAGTTACTTCTTGTGGCAAATTGATAAAAAAATTAAGTCGCTTGATGTTATTCTTTTGTTTTTATTATGATAATGTTTAAACGTCAAATTTTCGCTGCTTGAACTTATACTTCTCGTCAATAATGGCTCGTTTGGGTTACACTAATGAAGATTTTTTGAATTTAATATTAATACACGGTGAATGTAATCGAATAGCGCTCAGGACTTGCCGTCTTTTTTCCGAAAGATACCCTGACAATGCGCAACCCACAGAGGCTACAATTCGCAAATTATAAAAATTGCAGGAATAACGGTATGTTACAAACAAAAATACAAAAAAGGAAGCCTGTGGGTGACATTTATGCTTTTTGAGAATTCTTTGTGCACTCGTGTCTGATATGTCAATTTCTCTTTGGATATCATTAAGCGATGTAGTTGGATTTGTAGCAAAATACACCAGTACAGTTAATTCTTGTTCTTCAGAGTCTTCTTATCACATCCGTAAAGGACTTTTATTAACTGGTAGGACTACACAAACGCTGCCATTACTTTATTGAAACGGTAGAGGCCAAGTTATCCGCAATTACGTTCACGCATAGGCAACCTTGTCTTATTGTAGCGCATGGTTTAAAAACATTATCATAATAAAAACAAAAGAATAAAAATCAAGCGACTTAATTTTTTTATCAATTTGCCACAAGAAGTAACTAAAACATGGAAATCTCCGAAACGGTTTGAAGCAACTTTTGACATGTTGTATCAAATTTAAAGGTCTGGGAAAAAGGAAAACAAGGGCGAAGAAACAAAATGGGGGGTGCCATTTGAAAAAATGGAGTTACGGATATTTAAAGGTTTAAAAGTTGAGAGCTTTGAAAAAGTGACGTAGTCTCACTTTTTTAGACTGTTACGCATACCATAAGAAAATTCGATCTTTCTTTAATAAATCACTGAAAATTGTGTTGCAATATCTCTCGCCGTTTTCGAATAATAAATTTTTAAAATTACCCCTGCAAATTCAATTTTTGACATAAAAAATTGAATATCGGCGAAGCCCTTGGAGCAAAGGGTCAACTATGGGGTATCGTTGTACTCCAAATTCGACGTAGAATCCGAAAATGTAGAAAAAAATAGGGGGTCCCTATTTAAAATAACAAAGTTGATGGCTACTTCCGGTATTTCCGGAAGTGGCGCCATCTTGAAAATATTTTAGTTCAATTCATCATGTGCCAAAACCCTTAAAGGACTTATCAGTTTAGTTTCATTTTCAAAGGTTTTCCATATCTTTCTAACTGACGCTCGTCAAGAATGACCCTGTATAACACGCCCGAGATGCATTAGAGAAGCTGAAAAATAAGGGTGAGTAAATAAATACCCCATCTGGTCATATGGTTCTTGTTCGTTTCGGAAAAGGGGTTTTACATTTTATCAAGTCTCAAAACTGCTTAACATGCGAAAATAAAGTGGCGCTGTTTCAAAAACTTCAAGGCGGGCATAAGGAAATGTAAAGAGAAAACAGTGTTACTATACCTAAGCGGATCAAGATCAAAGCTCGTTTTGCCACAATGATTATCATCACAAAATCTGCTCACTTCCCCACTTTCAACAAAATCCCCAACTGCACATACAGTAAGTACAATTACCATTTTCGTGTCAGTCAGTTAATGGCGATATCTGTAATGAATGGCATTGTTCACGGTACGTGTATAAAGCGGAAATAAGTGGAGCGTGAAGTAACACTGAACTTGGGATATTATGCTACGTTTAGGGGGCTAATCCAACCTCGAGGCGTCTGCTATCCTTGAAAACAAAAAGGAGGATGTCAAGGCGAATCGCATTAAAAATGACGCTGACCTACATTATTATTACAGCCATAACTTTCTTTGTATTTATTTATTGCGATCCTTCCAGAAACATTCATCCAAAGTTACTTTCTTCCGCGTACTTAGCGAAATAATTCGAATTATGGAAGCAAGAGTCTAAATACGCGTCGAAGTTTCTCTCGTAGTTTGTCCTAATTTACTTTTGTTCGAGGGAGGATTGCTACACTCAATAAATTTCAAAGTTCACCGAAAGAAATTAAGGTGGGCGGAACAATATAGGAATTTTCCTTTCAAAGTACTTAGTGTTTCGGTAAATTAATGAAAAGGAAAATTAATTTTAAAATGAGATCGAGGAATTACGCTAATGAAGTGTTTCAATTTGTCATTTTTGCAATTTTTATCATAAAAGAAGCAATTACTGCCCTAAAACTTCTTTGATCCCACCGCCTTCAGTAAATAAACATTTTGAACCGGTCATTTTTAAGGAAATTTTACTAGGAACTACCATGCGAATTGTGTATTACGGTAATATTACGGTGTATGTGTAAAAATGCCAATCAATGAATTCAGTTTTCCATTTTGTGTGTATTTTCATAAGACTTAACTGGGGGAAGGTTCTATTCTTTTTGAACTAGTTGGATTATTTATTGTTGTCAGATTACAGACAGAACCTACCCTTATTTAAGGTCCAATTTGTACTAAATTTTCAAGATCTTTATAATGCTCAAGTAACGTTAGGTGTAAAAGTGATCACTTAGGAATACTACTACTTTTTAATTTCTCAATCGAATCCA